GGGGAATTCTGGGAGTTGAAGTCCACACGTCTTAAAGTTGCCGAGGTTGAGAAACACTGTGGTAGCAGAAGTTCTTTTATTTCTTTACTCATTAAGTTCACAGATGCACTTGGTTTCAGTAAATATTTTTATCAAACTGAACTGTTTTTCACCAGGGGCTTGCCAATCCCTGGCTAGAGAAATGGATGGCCCAGTAAAGTTAAAAATCAAGCTTTCCTGGTCCTTTGAACATTTCATTAGACATAATTTCACAGAGCCAGTTTGGTGTTGGCATTAAGGTATGGGTAGTCATTGTTTAGCGACTGCCTCAGACAGCGACCGTTTGCAGGTATAACAGTGATGAAGAAGTAACTTTGTGACCAATCCTCGCATTTACGACCTTCGCAGGTGTATAAAGCAAAGGAAAGCTGAAGGAAGATCATAAGCACAGTCGCAGTTTCACTCAGCGAACACTTCGTTCAACGAAAGAGTTGCTAGTCCCAATTGTGGTCACTAAATGAGGACTACCTGTACCAGGTTAGAAATGGGAAGATTGTGAGTTTTACTCCTTCTTTGGGCACAAGAAGCTGGGGCCAGTCCCTCTCTCTTTGCCCAACCCACCTCAAAGGCTGGTTGTTGAGAAGGGAGCATGATGTCCACTGCAATGATTGTACCCAATAAAGGCAGGATATCAATCTAATAAATAATAAAACATCATTTCTTCCAGGAAATGCAACAGGGGAACTTGACTAGACCTTTTTCTAAACATTGTTCAAGATCTCTGGAACTCTGCTGCTGTTCAGCTGTGGCATACCTTGATTTTGAAAGCTCTTTTGAAACCACTGGCAAAGAAACCCCCAAAAGGTCCAATCAGGGAGGCAAAAGTGGAAAGGGCGATGCTGTGGATCTGGAAGGGATACATCCGGACGGTCTTCTGCAGGAAGGGGAGGGAAATAAGGAAAAATGGAACAGGTGAGTGGCATCCTCACACCTACGGGAAAGGAAGAACAGGTATGCCAACCATTTTGCCCAATGGGACTCAGTTTCCAGGCCAGTTCATTAGTTCCCCAAAGACTAGCTCCTTTTTTACGGGTTGGGGAGTTTTAGGGAGCAAAATGGAGATGATACCTATTCCACCCCTTACCCCAACCCAGAAATACAAAACGATGGCCACAATTCTGCTCCACTCATTCAGGGTGTGAAAAGGACCATTCATTTTAGCAATTTTTAGACGCTGTCAGGGCAAGCTGAATTCCTGGATCTTGAGGCATACCCAGCCAACAACAGACTGAAGCACCAGGGGGATGTTATATTCCTGCAGCTGGAAAAGCTCCGAAGGCTCGCAGTCCACAGTGAAGCTGTTGGTGTCGTTGTTAAACTCAACTGGACATGTGAAACATCTGTATCCAGACATCAAATATGACAGCTTGTGGTGATGGTTGGAGGAACAGAAGAATCAAATAGTTAATTTCTGCCACGGTACACAGAAATAAACAGAACAAACAACAAGGACACTTAAACACCAGAAAGGATAAACCTAGCATTTATTCTCAGGCTTAACTACAGGTAGTCTTCAGTTAACAATGATAATTGGGACCAGGATTTCCATCGCTAAGTGATGCGGTTGTAAAGCACAACATCACGTGACTGCATCGCTTAGCAACGGCAATCCCAGTAGTCCCTGTTGCTGTTGTTAAGCAAGGATTGTGGGTCATTAAGCGAGAACCTCCTTGTGTCTTTCTGCTGGCTTCCAACAGTCAAAGTCAGTGGGGAAGCTGGCAAGATGTTGTAAGTCCCAGGCAGCTGGCAAGCAGGTTGGAGGGCAGGTAAGTGGCTGCTGGGGGCAGGGGAGGGCATGCGAGGGTCCAGCACAGTGCGAGCACTGTGAAGCTTGGGGTGGCTGCTGCTGGGCATGGGAGACTTACCGGGTTAATTGTGACCTTCCCTGCCAGCTTCCCCATTGACTTTGCTTGTGGGAAGCTGGCAAGGAAGGCTGCAAATGGTGATCACGTGACCGCAGGATGCTGCAACGATCATGGGTGCAAGCTGGTTGCCAAGCACCCGAATTGCGATCACATGACCATGGGGTTGCTGGGATGGCTGGAACTTCAAGGACTGGGCGTAAGTACCACTCATTCAGCACCGTCATAACTTTAAGCGGTTGGTGAATGAGTGGTTGTTAACCAAGGACTATCTGTATAGCATTCCAGGCTGGAAGGGGCCAATAACTCCAGCTTTTTTGCTCAATAAAGGCAGAACCTCCTTTAAGTCAACCCCGGCTGGACACGTCCATGGAATTTTCTTGGCAGCAACGTGGAAGAGTTTTGCTGCTGCTTTCTTTCCAGGTGTTGTGTTGACCTCCCAATCTAGCTTACTGCCCTGGAATTCTGGACAGGAATCCAAATTCAAGCACCCCAGGGAGATGGTCTTCTAGCATCCCACCACCCAGTGAATGGGAGCCCACCAACTGTCTGGGTCACCCAGTCCACTGCCAAACTCTTAACGTTGGGAAGATTTTTTTAACGTTTAACCGGAATCTGCCTTCCTGAGACTTAAATTTATTATTCTGTGTTCTCTACCCTGGAACAACGGAGAACAAGAAACCTATTTTATCCCTCCTCTTCCTTCTCTCGTCAAGGAACATACCCAATTCCTGCAACCTCTCTTAGTGCTCAAACTGACCTAATTCAAGAAGCGTGTTGCTTGCTCCTAACTTTCCCAGCGTGTATAAGCCTTTCCTTGTGGATTTCCTGGCGGATCAGATCTGTCTATTCAAGACCAACAGAAATTTTCCCCTCTCAACTGTGTTATTAAAATAGACAAACACTTACTAAAAGGCCAAATACGACAGTGGCAAAGAATCCTCCAATGAACCCTTCCCAGGTTTTCTTTGGGGACAACTGCAGATTCAAAAAAAAAAATGAATGAAACAATGGAGAGAGAGAGACGGAGAGAGGGACTGCAAGAAGCTGTAAGACCAAAACAGGCAGGACTTCCAAAACTAAAGCAGAAAGCCAGCACAATCCCTAACCTATCCCCACCGTCACCCAGAATGGATCATGGATGACTTTGGCCTTCACCAAAGCCAAAGACCGAGTCTTCTGCAGACGTTCAAAGCGTCCCAAGATACAAACAGACCTTAATCAGCGGGGTGCGTCCAAAGAAGAATCCAAACATGTAGGCCATGATGTCATTGCAGATGACACAGGAAATTGGGACAATAAACCTAAACAGCAACCGAGGGGGGTAGAAGAGAATGGAGAATTTGCTTCAACGGCAGTCAGGCTAAAATAAATACACACCAGGCCAGCCCTCCTCAAGCAGCACCGTCCAGACCTGCTGGGTGGCTGCTGAACTGCCAACCGAGAGGGCTGTCAGCTTTAACGGCGCTGGTTGGGAAACTGAGGAACTGAACCCCTCTGGAGGACACCAGTTCAGAGAAGGCAGTCCTGGATAGAGAGATCCTTCACCCTCAACAGCCAGGGATGCTCCTTAAAGAGCTGTGGCCCCCCTTCCCGGAAGAGCCTCCCTATCCTCTCCCCAGCCCTATTTTTATCTTATAAGAATGTGTTCATATTTTATTTTATACAAATAAATATCTTCTTGAAGAGAACAGATCTGAAATTCAGCAGCTCTCATCTGGGACCTGCTTCACTTCTTTTATAAGAACAAGGCTGGAGATCAGTGTGTCACCAGTGCCTATTTCCGTTAACCTCCCCCACCGCCAACCCCAAAACCAGGCAGAAATATCCAGCCTCCTCCCTCTTATGGGAGCACCCCCCACCCCTCCAGGGGCCAAAACACTAACAGAAGAAAAGCTGCCCACCCTGCCCTACTTTATGCATGCATTTCTTCATATCTTAAATAGCTATGAAGGAGCCCGTGCATTTAACTTGTGAAAGTCCCACTTTCCGTACTGCTTTCATGATTCCAGTTTGAAATAATTCTGCTGCTGCTGCTGCAAATCAAAGGCTGACGCTTGGCTTAACCTTGGAAATTATATCATCACCATTATCATTATGCTGTGCCTCTTAAAAAAGGCCAGGGTCTATTTTGGTAAATGGATCTCTCTTTTATTCTTTAAAACCGAGCTACGAATCAACTGTAAAGCCCATTTCTTCTCTTAACTGTTCTCAGGGTACCGAAAAATGAACTCAGAACGAAGGAGGCGTATTTATTCACTGGGAATTCCATGACAAAAACTGCAAGGTGCTTTTGAAAAATATCTGGACAGCCTGAAGAAACTCCTTCTATTTAAAAACAAAACAAAACTCCTCTAAAAAATGCCTTCAGCAATCTTGGATGGGAGGTCTTGGTGAAATGTACCCAATTCACTCCACTGTGTCAGCTAGGTATTACTTTAGGTACTACGTGTTGATGTCCAGATGAAAATCCAAAACTGTTATTTGCAGATGGAGGAAATTAGGACAGAAAGATTTCTCCCTGGCAAGGCCCCACTTCGGAAGACAGATTTCCGCCCAAACACGGGGCAGAATGAAAGAGTTAAACCAATTCTCCACCCTTGTCGGAAACCAGCTAATTAGCAGTTTCCCCAATGATGGCACTTTTATTCTTAAAACATGCCTGCAAAGAGCAAAAGTGCCATAATGTTGGATCTAGTTCATCACCTTCCAGCGGTGGTTTGTGTAGCTAGAGGTGGAAAATTCCTTCTTCCTCTGCTTACGGGGTGTGATTATTAGTTCAATTTGCAAGAAACAATCACGCAAAGAAAACAGAATATTATGTGCCAGAGAAGAGGGAGGCCAATGCTGGCCCTGATCCACGCTGGCAGGGAAGCTACGCACAGGCAGTTTTCCCAGCGTACAACTAGCCAACAATCCCAGCGTTGGGCATGCAGCAAAGAGCCCAGGACACCCAGCAGGGGTGTTAAGTACAAGGGGGTGCCGCCTGTTTCCAGCAGCAGGCAGAACAAGTTTCAGTTTTCTTCTTGCTTCTGCTGTAAAAATTCTTCCTCCCATTAGAATCTGCTTGAAGACATTCATGAGCGAGATTGAGGGTGTTTTATTTGGGGCAGAAGCCGTTCAAGCTGGCAGAGGCTATCAGGAAATGGAATAAATGGGAGCAGCATTTTGATCTCAGGATGTCTGGAGGTTCTACCACAACGTGGCAGTGTGAATGAAAAGCCTGGGGTTTTCTCATCTGCTTTTGGAGCGCAGACGTTTTGCTTGAAAAGGGACTGACTGGCCCATGCAGTCAATCGACATCATTCGATTCCCTAATTTAAAAAAAAACAAACATCCAAGCCGAGGACAGCAAAAAATTTAAAATGGTGTTCAATTATTCCTTTGCTGGCAAAAAAGACAGGGCAGCTGCAGCTGGTCTGCTCTTGGCTGGTCTGACTACTGACAATTGCCAGCAAAAAACAAGTCGGCTGAACCAGCTGGCCTGTTTTTTGCCAGTAAGCAAGGAAAACGTTGCACTTTCGTCTGAGCAGACGCAACAGAAATAGGGCAAGCCCTGCCCCACAGCAGCCCACCAATGCAAGTACAGAGGGGAGGGGCTTGTACAGTGAGGTCACTGCTGGGCAGGGCCTATTATACCTAATCCTGCTTTGCTGTGGACACCCATTAGATTTGTCCACTGTGCAAACTCAGCTCTTGTGTTAGTGTAGACACGGTCTTTCTCACACTTGGCAACTTTAAAACATGTGGGCTTCAACTCCCAGAATTCCCCAGCCAGCATGCTAGCTGGGGAATTCTGGGAGTTGAAGTCCACATGTCTTAAAGTTGCCAAGTTTGAGAAACACTGGTGTAGAGCGCACCTGTCATGGAAACCTAGCAAACCAGATTCACTGAATGCAGTTATGCAATAAAGCAAACCAGATTCACTGAATGCAGTTATGCAATAAGTAGACACGGTCTTTCTCACACTTGGCAACTTTAAAACATGTGGGCTTCAACTCCCAGAATTCCCCAGCCAGCATGCTAGCTGGGGAATTCTGGGAGTTGAAGTCCACATGTCTTAAAGTTGCCAAGTTTGAGAAACACTGGTGTAGAGCGCACCTGTCATGGAAACCTAGCAAACCAGATTCACTGAATGCAGTTATGCAATAAATGCATCTTTTTTAGGATAGAGCAGATAAACAAGACAGTTTAGAAAAGTATTAGTACTAAATTAAATGCATTTAATGGCTCCCCCTGTTTTAACTAAAGATCCTTTTCTGCCTTGTTGGTAAGTATCATTGGGAGGAATTCTGGGGCCTGCCCCAAAGATGTCCAGGAGCCCTGCACAGCCCAGGGACTCTGGCTAGGCATCCCAGTTCTAAAGGCACAAAAAACCACCATTTTATAGCAGGCGCTGCTTTCCCTGGTCATTAATTACCCCATTTGGCCAAATAAAAACAGACCAATCAACTTCAGTCTATGGGGGACAGAGGTCAGGTCAGTCAATGGATGGATGGATGGATCAAGAGTGTCCTTGCACACCTGTGTGTGAGAGAAGGATGGTTTTTTTGCTGGAGGGGCGGATTCTGGCGAGCTAAACTATCGCCGAATGAGAACTGGCAAAACATAGTGGATGTTTGCCCAGACCCAGCCAAGCATTAGCCTGAAGTATCTGCTGTGTCGGGCCTCTTCCAGCTGGCAGAGCTGGAGTAAGCCCGTGTGTTGCAAAAGTCCCTTGTGGGTTCCTCAGCCACGGGTGGTTTGACAAAGGACCCCCCACTTGTAATTCCAGAACTGTTAGAAAAACTGCCCAAGCTGGCTATTCCTTTAACCCAGAATTCTTGCAACCTAGATTCAGAACTGGAGCAAGAAACGTCCATCAGCTTCAAGCCCCCAGTGGCCAGAGCCAGGCTGTTGAACAGGCTGGACCGATGCTCAAAAGCTCTCTGCAAAGCAAAGATTCAATCCGGGCATTTCACACCATGCTCAGGTGAGAGAAAAGCTGGAACTATTCCTGTCGGAGAATGCTCGAGGCACACGGGCTCCATGCTTAATGTGCAGCAGCGACCGGCCAAGACCCCCAAAGAGACCATCCCCCCATCTTTAGCCAGACCAGACACATCCAGGCACAGCAGCCGAGAGCAGCTTTGGGACCGGGCGAGGCCTTCGGCTTTGCGGAGACAGCAGCGCGACGGAGGCCCCACCACGTCAGCCCCTCCCTCGTCTCACCAGCCAGGACTTCAGCCAGCACCCCGAAGTCCCTTTCCCCGTAAAACCCACCACATGGCAGCTATGTGCACAAGGTCTCTCCTGCGGGTGCTGCCATGCCCATGCTCCCCAGCAGGGGGGCACCGTGCCCTGCCCACTGTGCTGACTCACCAGATCATTCCTTCAAACAGGTTGTGAATGATGAGGTGCGACTGGGTAACAATTATTAGCAAAGTCACATGGGTCCAGCCAAACTAGAAAGAAAGAACATGCAGTCCACTTTTGAGAGGAAAACACTTCTCAGAGACAAGCCAAAATGCTGACTAAGAATATATATATTTATATTTATATATATATATGCACATCTACGTATATGAAAAAGAAAGTGAGGGGAGGGAGGGAGGGAGGGAGAGAGAGAGAGATCGTGGGTACAGCCAAACCCCCTGTGGTTGATTTGGTTTTTCTTATTCTGTAGGCAAAAGCCGGTAATATTTGTGAGCAAAACCAAAAAGTTACGCCCTTAGTTTGGAAGGGAGTCAATGACCAAGGGAACTGAGTCTCCATGGAGATTTAAAGGGAATCCGTGACTTTTCCTGGCTTGTGGTGTCAGGTCATTCAAGAGCCCGCGAGATACTCCCCAATCCATCCTCTTGACGCCAATCTCCCCTCATTAAGCTTCTTTTAAAACTACCCCACTAACGATGTGATACTTCTTTGGGGCAACTGGAGTTTTACCCCACCGCAGACGAAGATGTTTAATTTTTGCACAAATCGTAAGGGCAGCTTTTAACAGGGAAGGGGAGGGAGATGATGCTCTTCAACTTTGAATACAACGCACCAGCGACACTCTCGATTTTAAAATAGTCTTCCCTTAATTTTCCTATCTTGAGAACAGCAGGCTCCATTTCTGGATGTTCCTCCACTCTTTCCAACAGCCGTTAAATGAGACGTGCCACTACGAGCCCAGGGACAAGGCGTCCCAGTCTTCAAAGCCAACTAGCACCATGAAAAGCAGGGGGAGTCTCCATCCTGGCTCCCCATCCCGACCGTAACGAATTCATTGGCGGGGGGGGTGGCTCAAGCCACTCACTCGGGGGCGGGGTGCCTTTAAAGAGCGAGGATAATGCATGCGAACTTGGTTCCTGCCTGGGCGTGGATTCAATGAAATGACTTGGAAGAGGAAATCGGAGGACAACAGGAGATCAGGGAGCTGGCGCTTAAAGACGTGTGACCTCAAAATCCCCTACTCCTATAGCAACAGTGCTGTCAACAGGGGCATCCACAGGGTAGGGTCAAAAAAGTCAAGAGGGCATCCATGCAACCACCATATTGACTTCTTACCACACCCTCTGGATACCACCGGCTGTTGAAGCCACTTGCGGGGGGTGTTGGTGGTTCCCGGGCCAGAGGTGGCTGTTTGTTAACATACCACAACCATTGGCTTCCAGGCCACAACGCATTGGACAGGGATGGGGGGGTTAAAAAAGCAAAGATGGCTGCTGTGCCTGTGTGATCAAAGCCTCACTGTTTTTTACATGCGTTGCGCATGTGATGCATGTTAAAAAGTGGCAGGGGTACAACTGCATAGGCCTCACCAACATCTTCACTTTTTTGACCCCTCCCAAGGACCGCTCTGGCACTGTGCCAAGCATCCGTTAATCTGGACAGGAGGGAGAAGAAACACTGAGTGCAAATCCCTGAGAGCGCACGTGTGTGCATTTGTTCCTACCATTTTGGACTAGCTCTTAAACCTGGCTTGCTTCTCAGCTGCAATAAAGATTCAGATCTAGCTGAGCTGCGCTGGGGAGTTTTCAGAGAAGTCCAGCTGGGCTGTCAAGCTTCGCCATGATCCTGTGATTTACTGCCATGCCCAGGTCAAGGAGATTAACTGCCAGGCTTGGGAGGCAGTCCAGACAAGAAGCACATCTAGGAGTACCAGCCTTGCTTTACTGTAAGGTCAGCAGGTGAACGAGAGAGGTGGCTCCATTATTAACATCCCTTTGCCTATTATTTTTCTCTTTTGCTTTAGTCTGTTTTTATAGTTTTTAATAATTACTATATTTATTGTTTCATTGGACTGTTGTACACTGCCCAGAGTCACTTTTTGCGAGATGGGCGGCCGTACAAAGATAGTTGCCATGCCTCCATTCCTTCTGCGGACTCAGCTGCCTCTTATCTGACCGGTGCCTGGTCTGTGGTTCTTCCTCCTATCTCCCAAGGTCATTCCCGCAGACCATTATGTTAATGCTACCCGCCAGCCTATTTGCACTGCAAATACGATGACTATTCTGCTTTTGAATTATTGTGTCTTCTCTAAACAGCAATTGCAAGTCCTGCCAGGGTGGAGTTTCACAGATAAAAAGCACTTTGTATGGATCCTGCTCTAGCTTCTTGCAGTCTAGACTTCATGGAACCTTCACGGGCCTTAGAAAGGCCTCCGCTCCAAGAACGCATGGCTTCCATAGGTCCTCTTAGCTGTGGCAGGTAAGTGTCCTGGGGGCTTTAGTCCAAAACACTGAGAATGGGCCAGGATGAGGAAGGAGATGGCTTTTAAAAAGTAGAAAATAGTCTCCATTACAGACCAGATTCAAAAGCTCCTTGAACATTTCAGAGCCCTGGTCAACCATTCCATTTTAACAGGGGCAACGCCTTAAGGATATGAAGACTTGCCTCCATCCACCCTTCTGTCCCGACATGGGCGGCAACAGGAGCTTGTTTTAAGCACTTTCACAACTTGGAGTGAGCATAGAAGGGAGGGGTCTGTCCACACTGAAGGAGAAAGCAACCAACTGGTTGCTTGTGGAAGAGGCGTGACCTCATGGTGCACACAAATCCACAGAAGGTGCTGCGGTGAACAAGGACCTTCCACACTCTTGTAAGTTCCTACCATAAAGGTCCTAAAGGGCAGGAGACCAGATTGTCTGAAGGGTGAACCGCATCCATAACACTTTCCCAAACATTTAAGACTCACAGGGAGGGAGCACAGGTCTTCAGGCCTTCTCAGTGGTGGCCCCATCAACTATGCATGTCCCTTTCTCCAGAATGTCTTGGGCTCTCTTGTTGACCAGTTCTCATTATGAAGTAAGGCAGGAATGGGGAGACTCTGGCTCCTGCAGGCTGGGTCATGAACTTCCTCCCAAATTGCCTGGCAACCCCTTCTTACACCTCTTTCAAAGCTCTACGTCTAAGCACACCACCTACTTTACTTCTGTGTTTGGAATCTGTGTTATTACCGTGAATGTTGTATTCAGTTTTGCAATACTTATCCTAAGTTTGTGGTGAGAGATTGAAGCCCAAAAGGCAGTATAAAAATTCTGAATAATTAATCTAAACCTAAATAATTAAAGTTGAGGTCCAGGAGGTCATTTGCTAAAGGGAATCTGCTTTGCATGTTTTTGATCTGCTTCCCTTTAGAACAGTGTTTCTCAACCTTGGCAACTTTAAGAGGTGTGGACGTCAACTCCCAGAATTCCCCAGCCAGCCATGCTG